TGGTCCCCGATTTTTTTTATGTTTGATATCCCTGAACTCATTATTTTTGAACCGATTTTATTGGCATTGGATTCTGTTTAGCTCCTGTGTTGTTCTTTATTAATTTCATTGTTATTGGCCCTTATACACCGGAGATACATCAGGGAAAACACCTCAAAATCGAATTGAAAATGTATAATGAGTAAGATGTTTATAATCGATATAGCTAGGTTTCATTTTTAGAAAATGTCCTTTTATCCCTGTTTTCAGGGAATGAAAAATATCATTCGAATACGGTCCTCCAGGTACTAAATTTAATCGGAGAACTTCTTGCCTTAGCTTCTCTGAAAAGTTCTTAATTTTGTAACTGACGGTTTTGTTATAATATGTAAAAAAATTACGGTTTTGTATTTGAAAGCGAAAACGTGGTCGCCCGCCGCCTGTCCCAATTTAAAACTGTATACATAATATCACTGTATATAACTGTATACGAACTGTATACAGTAACCAAGACATGGCGATAACAGACCAACGCTAACCCACATTCGGTTTCCTTACAAACTCTACCGTCGCGTGTCAACGGCTCTAGTGAAAATATCAAGTGCCGTAAAAACTCGTGTTTTGTTAACGGAGCGGACAGATATAACTACTGATGGCAAGTTAATACCGCGCTCATAACGGCCGGTTTCAATACTCTATCGGTATCTATCGGTAGATTTGGTTACTATCGATAAATATTATATTATATAAATAAATAATATTAATATTTACATGACACATTTTTACAAACTTTTTCTAATCCCAATGTTATCTAGTGCCCACAATACAAGCTTTACTTAGAGCTTATACTATGGGCACTAGATAACCGATAAATATTATTAAAAATACTTTTCTGTTGCAAATAAATACATATATTATAAATATATAAACACCCAGACACTCGAAAACATGGAAAGCACATACAACTACTTACATATTCGCTGCGTAGCTAATTTAATGAATAAAATGTACATACGTTAACACTTATAAATTTAAAATTACTAATTAACGAATTCAACTACCAAACATTTATACATGCAAATTTCCATCGATACTACAATTTAATTATTAAGTTTTTATTTTTCTGCCAAAAATTTGTTGATAAAATTACACAATATAATCTTATAAATTATAATTTTAACGTTTTACGACCTACCCAGCTCTAGTATTATCAACGCCAGCGACCGTAATCACATCGTTTATCTGCTAAAGAAACTTTAAACTTTTAAGATTTATTAATTACTAGTTTTTCGTCGCGGCTCCGCCCGCGTTAAAGCCAATGTCCTATGTCCAAAGAATCCTATGTCCTTTTATTACCTCTAATAATATGTGTACAAAGTTTCATGATGAACATGTAGTTACATTTACAATATTAAGTAGAGATTATAACTCGAATTGACAAAGAAATTGCATTGATGTTGATTAAGTGCTAATGACCCGTTGGGCTGCGGCCACCGGTGCATGCAAATCAACTGGCGTCGTCTCATCATCACCATCTAGTGATTCCCCGTTCATCATCTCGTATAAAAATTAACTAAAATATACCTATCAAAACCGTACTTGAGGTATCATTCGGTTTATTATACAATCGGGACATTGTTCTGTTACACGTAAAACACATTTGCTGAGTACCAGCTCTCTCATACGCCCGTCTCGCACCGCTGAACTACAATGAAAATACTCATGGCAAAAACGCTGGCAAATATATATTTGAACCGTAATTATTTATATATTACTAGCGACCCGTCCCGGCTTCGCACGGGTGCAGTGCTGAATGTTTGTTTACGACATCGCATTAGAGACCCCTAAAATTATCAGTGTTTCTCTACTACATTATGCATGAATTATACATATAAACCTCCCTCTTGACTCACTCTATCTATCAAACAAAACAGCATAAAAATCCGTTGCGTAGTTTTAAAGATCTAAGCATATATAGGGATGGACAGATAGCGGTACGACTTTGTTTTATACTATGTAGTGATATCCAGTCTGGAGTATAGAGCTGATTACTTACCTAATCAACATCAATCCGCCAACACCTTTACGAGGTGTAAATTATATGTTTAACTACAGGCACGTCGCAGCTTCGGCACCTTCAACAATCACCGTCATACCAGCCAGTTTGAAAGAAAACCTATATTAATATACTAAATATGTAGTGATACAGATAATCGAAACGTCTTCACATACCAATTGGCGGCTCGATGAGTTCAGTGGTCACCCGCCAACTGCCGTTGCGCGAAGTGACAAGAATTCGATCCCAGCACTGACAATCATTTGTGCAATCAACCAATAGCCGACCGAGGCAACGTGTGCTTATATACGCGTATAATTGTGAAAACAATCGCTGTAACTGTTCCCTTGTGCGAGTGTGTGGCTAACTAGCTCAGTTCTACTGATGTTAAGTAATAACCGTCGCCCATGGACATCTGCAACGCCCATAGGGTTGCAGAAGCGTTGCCACCTTTAAATCTATGACGACCCGAATGGCGTTGTGGGTAGTGTACCTGCCTCCTGCGCCAGAGGGTGTGGGTTCGATCCCCACTACTGGAAAAATATTGTGTGATGAACATGGGTTTCTAGTGTCTGGGTGTTTTATATATGTATAATATGTATTTATTTACAAAAGAAAAGTATGTTTAAGTATATCTATCAGTTTTCTAGTACTGGAAAATGTTGTGTAAAAAATGTGTCCTAAAATATTAAATATTAAATAAATTGGGCTTCGGCTACCTCACTCACCGGACGTAACGCAGAAATGTAGTAACACTACTACTTTACGCCGATCTTCTGTGAGGTCTTGGTACTTCCGGGACGGAGCTGCCCATTCGTGCAACATTGAACGAAGTGAAGTCCTACCACTGTTTAATCGTTTCTTAGAAAATTTGGACTGAGGAGTTTTTGCTCCATCCTCCATATGCTTTGATTTTTACAGTCAACCGATTGCGCTTGAACTTTAAATGTTCTATCTTTATTTATATAATTCTACTGTACGTGTAGAACTCTTACTACTCCTACTGAACTACTGAGTTCACTGAACTCCTCCTAAACGGCTGGACCGATTTTAATGAAATTGTTTGTGTCTTCAAGTCAATTCGAGAAATGGTTTACATTCACTTTTTTTAAGTTATCGGATTTAAGTAGTGTGTACAGGACGTCTGTCAGTCTGCTGTGTTATCTTATTTTGGCACAAATCGTCCTATACTTATAGCTTGTTCATGACCAGTAAATTAGATGTTTGTGCCCAAAACGCGATACAATCGAACTGCGGGCTATTTACACAGATAAAAAACTACTTTGAAATAATAGAAACTTCGTCGCAAATCTCAGCTTACGAGAAAATACGTTACACCAAGCATCTAAATATGTTGTTTATAACGCCGCGAAATGAAAATTAAAAAAATACCCGGTATATTTGTTTTATTTAATCCTGTATTATTGTTGACTTGATAAGATCCGTGAGTGGATTAAGCTTAACCCATAAAGATATCTGTTTGTTTTGTTACAATTACTGTTACTGCTTCGGATTTTAGGATGATTTAATAAAAATAAAAAAAAGCATTTGAAAGACGCACAAAGAAAAATTTGCGATGCGACATGCGAAGTTAAGCTCTTTTCAGTAACTGTAGACTAAACTAAAAAGTTATTTCACTTAAAATAAAGTCATTTTTAACCGACTTCAAAAGGAGGTTCTTAATTCGAATATTTTTTTTCTTTTTTATGTTTGTTACATCATAACTTTTGACTGAGTGACCCGATTTTGATTATTTTTTTTATTTTAAAGCTGGTGCTTCCCATGTGGTCCCATATTAATTTCAGTACCCGGAGGACCGAGCTTTGCTCGGTTTGTTTTTTTTTTTTGGTAAATCGTGTATTTTGGAAATTACATTTAGATACAAATTACTGAGTAATGAAATATGCATAATGTTTTTCGATCTTACCGACGTAATAATAAGAAAATATGAAATGATGTTTTTCACAAAAGAAAGAACTTTAAAAAAAAAGGGAAAAAAATAACAAAATAACAAATCGACAAAAAATTAAAAATAAAGAAAGCAATGATCTGGAATCGAAAAAAAAAAGTAAAAAAATAAATGTGTAAATGATCGTGACGCGAACCACGGCCGTCTGTTTTGGGGCCGCCCGATTACCGACCGAGCTATTATGACATTTTCTCTTGCGGCGAAATTTACCGTCACATTCGAATTATATTTTTCATTCCCTGAAAACAGGGATAAAAGGACATTTTCTAAAAATGAAACCTAGCTAGATCGATTTTTCGCCCCCAAATCTATGCACATACTAAATTTCATGAAAATCGCTGGAGCCGTTTCCGAGATTCCGATTATATATATATATATATACAAGAATTGCTCGTTTAAAGGATAAGATTGGTATTGGATCTTGGGCTCCGGAGATATTTAGGGAACTACCAAAAATCTATTATAAAATGAATACAGGGCGAGATATTTGAAGTCAGTTTTGTTTTTCGTTATTAAAAAAACGGTTATTTAAGTTAGTTGTTTTCATACTCCGGAACGTGCGTTGCGGTTAAAATCAACCTAACGTTAGATAACAGTACGACGGAGTTTTGCTTAAACTACTGCAAGGCTTAATATCGGAGTTGAGCTTACTAATGCTATTATATCAAACTGTTGATTCCGTTTTCGTACTTCGCATATTTTAAATTAAATAAATTGTAATTGAATCGCGCACGAGGTCAAAGAATGAGTTAACCGAATTTATTATAATTTTGTCCTTCACAGTCGTAATGAAACTTAAAATATTGTATTCACAATAGTATGTATTGTCTGTCAAATAATAGAGTTTTAATTTTTTTTTTGGACTGCAATGTCAAATCCAAGACACATCCACACAACTCCAGTTATTGGAATGTTGCCAATATGCCTTGGTTACACCACACCACAATTAACAATATTAAGTACTTCTGTATCAAATTCACGTATCGAATATTCCAGAAGCATATCCCGGTCGCCGTCTCCATCGCTTCGTCATACCGAAAGCAGTTCCGAACTCCTGGACGACAAGGTATTAATTCCATTTGGTCACTTATGGTCGTTTACGATCTTCAAGCTACATGCAGTTGGCACAGGAACGTGCTGCGTGGTACTCTGAGGAGGAGGCATGTCCAGCAGTGGACTCAAACAGGCTGAAATAATGACGATGATGATGATGAAGCTATCTGTCGTATCGATGTTGATTGTGTCGATGAAGCTATCGGTTGCCTGGAAGAAACTGCTTCCTTAGCAATAAGGCTGCCTATATTTACACTATGATTCCTGTATTTTATTTCTATATTTCCTTTTGTGAAATAAACTATATTCTATTGTATTCTATTCTCTTGCTTCCAGTCTAGCGATATTTACTTCCAAGGTTCGGGGGACGCGCAGCCAAACTCCATAGAAACACCGCTCTCCAAATCTGACAGCAATAAGGTACCAAATATATCTACCTACTTTCTTTTTTTAACCTTATATCCAATAATGTGTGCCAATAATAATTGGGGTCGTGGGAATACGTTTGAATACCCTCGAATATTTTTAGGCCTTTGCCCAGCCGTGGGACATTACAGGCTGTCGCTAGAGACTTTTCCGACACTGCAGTGCCGTAACAGAACAATTTTAAAAATCAGCTTTTTTTCTTACTCCATGTCGCAATACTGCCGTTTGTAAAAAAAAATCAAGTAGGGTGCAGTGGGGTAATTCCGACATAAATTTGTATGACATCACTAAGGGTCCAGTTTTCGATTAATTATTGAAAGTAGTTTTATATCTAAGACCATAATTGTTTTACATCTGTTTGCGTTACGAAAATAACTGTGTTAAATATTTATTCAATTCTTAAAATGCAATTGGGGTTTTGGATTAGAAATATTTTTATATATATAATTTTATATATTTGAAATATTAAGCTAATATTCTTTTTGTAAAAGGGATAATTACGAACTATCATGGGGTAATTCTGAAGTATTTCAAAAGTTGTATTTATTGAACTCTGGCCACAAAGTTCATATTACTTTTTCAATCGTAATTATGTGTTACACAAAATATACGCAATATTGTCCATAGAAACATTAATCTAATTTATTACAGCTTTGTTATTTCGTAATTACCCCTGAAAGTGTGTGTGGTTCTCAAACTTTAAGTTACAATTGTAAGAAACTTTTTGTTAAGCAGTTTTGTCCACTTATTTTGTATAAATTGTTGTGTATTCCATACAAACCAACATAAATAAGGACGAGGAAGATCAAAGAATGTAATATATATTTATTTTCTTCTTACAAATTCTACCGGCTGTACTTTTTTAAAATACAATTTATGTCGTTTCCGGAAATTAATTGACCAGGGATATTATACTTAAATGGTGTCGGAATATTGTTTACCTGCACATATTCAGCGACATCTTCCATAGTTTAATTGTTCTGCTAATTTATTTTCTTCTATAGGTATGACGGTAGGTATTCTTAGATTAAACCTGACTGTTGCTTTATTTCTCTTAACGTATTCATGACGAGTCGTCAAGGGGATTTTATATACTTGAGCTGCAGTATATTAAGTTAGTTTTCCCTTTATAACTTTTTCGATCGCTTGAGCCAAATCTTGTGAAGTGTATTTTGTAATTTTCTTACTTATGTAATTTCGGGACATGATAGATTTGTAAAACAAATTTGTTGCATACATTATTAATTAAACATTATTAATGCAAATACATAAAAATAAGTTTGAGAACCACTGCTAATTACTATGTGAAAGCTAAATGGGGTTATAAGGAAAATATAATATATCGGCATAAATCCGGAAGGGTATTTCCGAAAAAAAAAAATTAATAACAATTAGAATGTTATGTTCCTCGTACATAAACGCAAAATACGATAATCTATTGTTAAAAGGAAAACTTGTTCATGTAACTTACCAAAATTGCGAAATAAATTTATTGGGGTTATTATGAATCACTAAAAATGACGCGAAAAACACTTATCCAAGAAAATTTGCTGTCACACACATAATATTGTCACTAGCGACTTGCTACGACTGAGACGGCGTGGTTATCAAATATGCTGTCTAGCCTAACGTTGCTAGTAGGGAAATATAATTATAATTAATAGAAATTTAACGATTTCGGAATATACCCGTTTTCGGAATTGCCCCACTGCACCCTAATATTTGACCAACTCATATGTGATCTACGGATGCTTTCATTAAATAAAATCCATTTAGTATTTTATTTCTCAAATTGGTTGGGAAGTTTTTAAGTAACTTGCAAGTTGGTAACGAGTAATATTGACAGGTAGTCTTAAACCTCGCCACGTATCACCATAGGGGTGGAGGGGGTTAAAAATGCTAAGAGAACCTCACGTGATTAATGGACGGCTCCTTGATTAAGAGTCGAGTGATAACAATTACGGTTGTAGGGCCACGCAGCACCCTCGACTGTTGCACGAATTGGCAGGCTCGTCCGGGTAAGTACCACGATCTCACAGAGGACCGGCGTAAATTGGAAGTATAATACTTTCGTCTGGTGAGTGAGGTGGCCGGAGTCCAATTTCCAAAAAGGTTGTCAACGCATCTGCAAACCCTCGGGCGTAGCAGATGTACATGGGCGGCGGTATTCGCTTAACATCAGGTGAACCGTCTGCTCGTTTGGCACCTTTCACATTAAAAGAAAAACAAGATGATCAAAACCGATGAACGCAAACACGATGATCGCTATTCGTGTGAACACAAGAAACCACTTCCGCAGCTGATACCGCAAAACCCAGTGGTGCTGCGCGGCGGCGCCGACTCCAGCGCAGCGCGTACCAAGAAGAAGAGCTGGTACAACGCCCTGTACCCTACGTACAAGAGCAAGTCGGAGGACTTCAAGCGGCTGTTCAAGGACCTGCCCGACGAGGAGAGGCTCATCGTAGGTGAGTGTGTACCCTGAAATTAAATCTATACAGCGTGGCGTTACCATCGCGACAATAAATGAACACACGTCTAACGCTACTTGCCAATAATCATAAAAAAATATTAACGTTAAACAAAATCCATAATTAAAAAAAAAAATTTCAATCAAACTAATTAAGTAAAAAAGAAACAAAATTTGTAACATCCTATACAACTCGCGCCACAGCGTCGTATTACAAGTCTCTCCTTCTAACAGTATGTTTTGTCTCTTTTAAATTCATTCAACCCATTCATATGCTTTTTGATCTTTACCAATGAACATTACATTACAGTTTTAGATGTAAGGGTGTTCTAAAATTCTTTGTTTTGGTAACTGTCGCGATGGTAACGACACGCTGTATATCCTTACTTCCTTACTAATATTATAAACGCGAAAGTTTGTATGTATGTATGGATTTTTGTTACTCTTTCACGCAAATACTACTGAATAGATTTTAATGAAACTTTACAATAATATAGCTTATACATCAGAATAACACATATACTTTTCTTTTGTAAATTCGTACATATTATAAATACATAAACACCCAGACAAAAGAAAAGAACTATGTTCATCACACAATATTTTTCCAGTAGTGGGGATCGAACCCACACCCTCTGGCGCAAGAGACAGTGTTACTATCCCCTACGCCAATTGGCTCGTCAAATCGGATTAGTATCGCTGAGAAGTGAATAGGTTTTCATCGGGATGGGGGTGTGTTGGAACGATACTGAAAGGGAAACCCAGGTTCGAATTCCGAAGCGCCGAAAGATTTTGTTCATTTATCTATCAAGACCACTACATAGTATAAAACAAAGTCGGCTCGCTGTCTGTCTGTCCCTATGTATGCTTAGATCTTTAAAACTACGCAACGGATCTTGATGGGATTTTTTTTACTAGATAGAGGAAGGATTAAATATTAAATATTTAGGACACATTCTTTTTACATAACGTTCTCTAGTCCCAAACTAAGCAATGCTTGTACTATGGGTACCAGAAAACTGATAGACATACTCGAACATACTTTTCTTTTGTAAATAAATACACATTATACATACATATACACCCAGACACTAGAAAAACACTATGCTCACCACACAACATTTTTCCAGTAGTGGGGATCGAACCCACACCCTCTGGCGCAGAAGGCAGGTACACTACCGACTAAGCCATTCGGGTCGTCAATTCAGGATTCAATGGGAAGGTTTATATGTATAATACATTAAAACCGTGCGAAGCCGGAGCGGATCGCTATTGGCCTGTTCTGTTGTTGCAAAGTCGACGACCCCAATGGCATAGTGGGTAATGTACCTGACACCTGCCACCTGCGCCAAAGGGTGTGGGTTCGATCCCCACTGCTGGAATAATATTGCGTGATGAACATAATGTTTTGTCCTGGTGTTTATATATTTATAACTAGCTCGGCCGCGGCTTCGCTCACGTTGAAGCCCTTTAATAAATATCTTTCATAAAAAAGATTCTGTTAAAAATAGCCTATGTCCTTTCTGTATACCAAATTTCACTTAAATCGGTTCAGTAGTTTTGGCGTCAAAGCGAGTTAGAGTCAGAGTTACTTTCCCATTTATAATATTACGTTTGGAATAGTATGGATATGTATTAATTTACAAAAGAAAAGCCTGTTTAAGTGTGTGTATCAGTTTTCTAGTACCCATAGTACGAGCGTTGCTCAGTTTGGGACTAGAGAATGTTGTGTAAAATAAAAAAAAATTAAAAAGAAATTGCTCCGAGTAGAACTTGTGCATTCTTGGTTCCGTGTTTCGGGCAGACTACTCGTGCGCGCTGCAGAAGGACATCCTGGTGCACGGGCGCGCGTACGCCTCGCAGAATTTCCTCTGCTTCCACGCGAGCATCTTCGGCTGGGAGACCAGCATGACCCTCCGGTGGAAGGACGTCACCGCCATCACGAAAGAGAAGACGGCGCTGGTATGCCACTAAGAAGTAAAGTACAGAATCAGCCTATACACGTCCCACTGCTGGGTATCAGGGCATAGGCCACCTTAGAAGTATTATTTTTAGTTATTATTTCGACAGTATGCAGGTTTCCTCACGATGTTTTCCCTCACCGCTGACCACTAGATGATTCAGCACTTGAAATTTACAAGTTCATTGGTGCCGGCAGCGGGGATCCAACTCAGGTTGCTCGAGTATATTGAATTAAAGGCGTCAAGTGGCAATGTACTACGCCCGGACACGGAACTATCACGGCTCTTAGCTCTAAGCTCCGAGCTGTCACTAAGTTGCAATGTTTTTGCTTCTCGCCAATAGGCTTGCAAATACGTTGCCACATTTAAATAAAATGGACCCAAGCTACCTCACTCAACAGACGAAACGCCCATTCGTACATCAGTGAGAACTGTTGCGTGGCAGTATCACAGTAAATAGCAGAAGAGAATTATTGTTTGTCTGGTGAGCCCTTACTGTAGGATAAATTTGTAACGACCTGTGTTGTAAGGACGTTTTACAAACATAAATTTCACGCGGACAAATACCCAGATGCGCAACAACTATCTGTGGGCCACACAAATAGTTGTCCCGTGTGGGGATCGAACCCACGACCCCCGACGTTGAAGCCAATAACTTGGCAACTGCCCCACGGAGTCATCTAAATGCGACAACAGTTTTGAAGGGCAGCTTTCACTCGGCAGGTGATACCGAACGCTATCCTGGTGTGCACAGAAGGCGAGAAGAACTTCCTCACCTCCTTCTCCGGCAGGGACAAGGCCTACCTGATGCTGTTCAGGATATGGCAGAACGCGCTCATGGACCAGCCGATGAGCAGCCACGAGATCTGGCAGTGGGTGAGTTTGACCTTCGAGATTTTAAGCTTTTTTATGTGAGATAGTGGCAAACGAGCTGGCGGTTCACCTGATGTTAAGCAGGTTTGCAAATGAGTTGCCACCTAGTATTAAGCCTTAACAAACTTTTCACCAAACATTTCAAACTCTTTTACCAACCCTTTGTATTTTTTACTACCCTCATTATTCCAAATAATCATAATATATTTTAACCGCACCTTCAAAACCTTGTGTTTGTTTCTCTTTTGAATTTTAACAGTGGTAGATGCACGTAATAGTTGCACGAATGGGCAGGTCCGTCGGTATAATTACCACGACCTAACAGAAGACCGGCGTGATGTGTATGTGTTATACTTCTGCGTTTCGTCTGGTGGGCAAGGTAGCCGGGGCCCACTTTATTCGAAGGTGGCAATCCAACGGATTAAAATTTGTAGAAAAAGTACGAAAAGATTGTCGCCGCTGTGGGAATCGAACCCACGTCTTCGGCATTCGCGGCCTGACGCTTTAGCAGCTAAGCTCAACGGCTGATTGCCACACCGACGATAATTTCCCCTTGCGACGAAATTTTGCCCTTTATCTACATTGTTTTTTAGCATGTGAAGCAATGCTCGGCGCGTCCATTGTTTTTTTCTACAAATTTTAATGTTCAATCTTAAGTGCAGAGATTAGCAATATGAAAAAATTAAAAATCCATCAGATGTTGCAAATGCCAATGGGTCGCGGTTATCACTTAACATCAGGTGAACCGCCAGCTCGCTTGCCAATTCATCATATAAAAAAAATATGCTTTTAATAAATTTCAATTAAACCAGTAACTGATTCGTTTATGTTTGATTTCAATAATAACAAATATTAACTTACCGTCACGGGAAAATACGTTAGCTGTGTTCTGTGAACTAAATTTGGATACAGTCTTAAAGAGAAAATAAGACAATTTTAAATAATACCGATTCCTCCCAAGGATGATTCGCGGGGCTATTGAAATTAAAAAACACCCTAATTTCAATAGTGAAGAGGGTTGGGTACTACAATCAGCTTGGGATCCTGTCATCAATAAAATTAAATCTAGGCCCAAACGAACCACTACTGCAAGACAAGATACAATTAGCTCCCTCTGCATAGATCGGACACAAAATTAATATTTCAAAAACTGACGGTAGCCCGGGTTAACTATGACAATCAGACGTCTAACACCTCAGTCTGTCCCGTGACTAAGAACGCTGTAAACGGTTCGAAACGTAAATTAAAAATAAACTATAAATAATTAAAAATAAATATAAACGCGATAAATCCGTAAAATTTAGTTTCATTTGTAATGTGTAATCGCGTAAATACAAGAAATTATTAAGACTATTTTAATGAAATAAACCTCTTTTTAAATTTCCCGCCAATAGGGCTTCAAATCTTTGACACGAGACGTAACAACTAGTATTATTTCCCGGCGTAACAGTTTAGTGAAAAAGAAATATCGCCTCCGAAAATAAATGACATGCAACATTTTCTTCCAACTGGCCGTAAAAATATTTCTACGGTATAAATCTTCAGCCTTCGGGAAGCTGAATTGCGTGCTTAAGTCCAAAATTCCCCAATCACTTAAAACAAAAGTGTTTAATCAATGCGTTCTTCCGGCTATGACATATGGATGCGAGACATGGACACTGACTGCTGGGTTGATCCACAAGCTCAAGGCGACGCAGCGCAACATCTAGCAGACTAAAGGCCCATTTACACGATGCCATTTTCTTGTACATGCAAGAGCAATAATTGAATGCAATAAATTGCGCGCAATAATTGGTTAGACCATTTGTTGTTTAGACCATGCAACTTATTTATTGCTTCAATTTAATTGTATACAACAGGCAAGAAACTGGCACCGTGTAAATGGGCCTTAAGTCCGGAACGAGCTTATCAGACGTAGCACGAAAGCGGTCGACGTGGGCCACCGAGTAGCGAAGCTAAAGTGGGCTTGGGCCGGACACATGTGCCGAAGAATAGAGGAACGTTGGAGCAAGCGCGTTCTGGAGTGGAGACCCCGGCTAGGCAGGAGAAGTGTGGGCAGACCACCAGCCCGATGGTCCGATGACATAAAGGAGACAGCAGGCCCAGTCTGGACAAGGGAAACAAAGAGTCGTGCCGAATGGAATAAAATTGGAGAGGCGTATGCCCAACGGTGGGAAGAAGAACAAGAAGATAAATCGTCATGCGGTTATCGTGAATGCAATAACACAAACTATGAAACTCCTGGTTGATTCAACAGGGACAACTCTCTGTGAGAATTCAAGCGCGTTTTACAGAATCTGCGCAGTTGTCGCACGCGGCACGTCTCAACTGTTTTGTAAATCAAATTTTATCCCACGGATACATTTTTGCTATGCCGTCAAAAATCTGCATTATTACCTAACATCCAGCCTTGAGCGACGTTCTAAATAACGTCGCAGTATCGTGACCTTGCGTCGTCCTGTAGAACCATCCCCTGAGACGAAAAAAACTACCTAATTTTCTTGTATATACGCGATTACAAATTATAAATGAAACTAATTTTACGGATTTATCGCGTTTATTTTTAATTTTAATTCCCGACGTTTCGATCGCTTTACAGCGTTCATAGTCACGGGACAGACTGAGGTGTTAGACAATCAGACGGTTTGAAAGGGTTCGAAACATCGGGAATTAAAATTAAAAATAAACGCGAGAAATCCGTAAAATTAGTTTCATCTACCTAAATTTTGAGAGCCGTGATAGCTTAGTGTCCGGGCGCTCGCCTTAATTCAATATACTCGAGCAACCTGAGTTCGATCCCCGGTGCCGGCACCAATGAAGTTTTTAACTTTAAGTGCTGAATTATCACGTGCTCCGCGGTGAAGGAAAACATCGTGAGGAAACCTGCATATTTTCGAAATAAAAACAAAAAAAAAATAGATTTCGAATATATGTGAAGTTCGCCAATCCGCAGTGGGGCCGCGTGGTGGACTATGCCCTGATACCCTCTGTATAGAGGAGGCCTTTGCCCAGCAGTGGGACATGTATAGGCTGTTACTTTACTTTTTTACTTTACCTAAATTTTCAAAGTACAAAAAATTTTCTCTCTCTCTCTCTCTCAATAGACTACGTGTGTACTTATGTACGGAGTAAGAAGTTATACTTAGAACTAAGAAGTTTGGGGGAGGCTTAAGTTCAGCAGTAGACGGCGATGGGCTGATAGTGAAATGTATCTTTTAACGAACTTAAATTTCACGTGGACAAACGCCCAGATGCGAAACAACTATCAGTGGGTCGCACAAATAGCCGTCCCGTGTGGGAATCGAACCCGCGACCCCCGACGCCGAAGCCAATGTTTTGGCAAATGTAGAGTCATCAAAATAGGTGTATCTAGATCGCAACGCGTCGGTCCGTACGTCCGTTCAGAATATGCGCATGTTAAATCGAACACGAGACAAGTGCCCACCGATTCTGCGTTGCACGACGTTGTTTTCCACATTCGGTCTCCGATTTGAATTTCAAAACACCACAATAGTCGATCGAAAGAGCTACGAAATCTATGTAGTTACGACATACGCTTTCGTTGTTGGATGTCGCATGCATGTAAAGTTAAAAAAATGTAGATATAATTTTTCTTTCCTACTTAAAAAAACATTAAACAGGAAACATTACCTCAGTAGTTATAATATACTGAGTTTAAACTATGTTTTAATTAACTAATAGTTTTAAAATTTGTTGAAAGAATTTGCTTTAAACTTGTTTAGCACTATAAAATCTTATTCTTCAATAGACATTTTTGAAAATATTGGTTCATGCGATTGAATCATTTATGATTTATGATTGCAGAAGTAGGTATTTGTAATTGTATACACTTCTATATAGTATGTATCTAGAACTCATTGTTATCATTTCAACGTTTATATCATTTTAACAAACACCACATTCTTAACCGAAAGCGATCGGTGATTGCCATCGGACTTCAAACTAAAAACATATGTAATACATAAAAATGGATTGCTGTTCGCTAAAATTCGAGAACGGCCGGACCGATTTGCCTAATTTTGGTTTTGAAATCAGGGAAGGTTTAAACGATGAGAAATTATGGAAAAATTGGCATGGAAAATCGAAATTGCAACAATTTTATTTTCCCATACAAAATGTACCTGTCAACTATGTCTGTGTAATCTGTCAAAAACTTCCAAATTCCCTAGAAATAATTTTTTTGGAAAAACAACGTTTGCCGGTTCAGCTAGTATGTAATAAAACTAACTGTACCTAAAATAGAACCTTGTGGTACTCCCCCCCGTACAAAAAACTACAGTTGTCCGTTCGGTAGTTTACTAGTACCTATTTAAATTCTAATATCTATTTTTGAAGCCAATTAGAACAGTTGCATTTGCCGTCTTGTGTATTGTTCAATATTTATTTAGATTATTTCGTCTACCTCAATGAAATAGATACCTCGGATGTCACTAGATCGTTTACAAACAATACACTTTCGTAGATTCACGTGTCGAGTATAAATATGTAAAATTTTAACACATCAAGGTCGGGATTTAGAGCAGTTTCTGTTGTTCCAACGCAGTAGATAAGAAAGTGCGGCAGAATCGAAAGGTAGTCTCGCTGATAATAATTAATTGTAGTGTTGCTATAGACATATATATAGTTCTATTGACATTGTGTTGTAATCATATATACGTTGTGTTTACATTTACAATTTCACAGGCTTTTTTTGCGTGTTATATCACAATTATATTGTACGAATTAATTTCAAATAAGTCGGTTAGTAAATAAAGTGAGTTTATGTACTCAATGTCCCAACTATTTACTCTCTTAAAATAGTTATTATTTAAATATTAATAGTCATTTAAACTTAACTAACGAGATGATTGCCTTTTTTTATAGATATGTATGTTATATTTATTTATGGTGATAATTTCGCTGTAAATTTCTGTAATTTTGAAGCTTCCTAATCGCAAAATATTTTATACTGATTTAAATATTTTTTCTCTTAGAAATCAAAATAACTAAATTCTCATTTATTTATCTCAATGTGTTGATGTGTGAGATAATGATAAGAGCGTTATTTTTTTTATAGAACCTTCCGTATTTAGAAAAGCAAACACGAATTAATAACTTTGTTTCGAAAAAACAAACACCCAGATGCGAAACAACTGTCTGTGGGTCACACAAAAAGTTGTCCCGTGTGGGGATCGAACCCACGAGCCCCGATGCCGATACCTTGGCAACTGCGCCACGGAGTCATTAAGACCGTACTCCTCACCAGGTGCATTCCTGCTACGGCGAGGAGCTAGGTTTCAACTCCGAAGACGAGGGCTACCCCAGGGACGCGCGTGACGCGCCAGACGACTCGTCCGCCAACCAACTGGACATCCACGAGGTGAGTGAAGGAACCAACTACTATTTCTATTTGTATTTATCTCTGGGAGGGCAACGCAGCAGCCTCGGCTGTTGCACACATGGGCCGGCTCGTCCGGGTAAGTACCACGACCTCACAGAACACCGGCGTGAAGTGGAAGTATAATACTTTCGCGTTTCGTCTGGTGAGTGAGGTGGCCGGAGCCCAATTTTCAAAAGGTTGTCAACGCATCTGCAACCCTCGGGTGTAGCGGATGTCCATGGGCGGCGGTATTCACTTAACATTAGGTGAAGTGCTCGCTTGGCCAATTTTCTCATAATTAAGAGGAAGAGGTTGAGCAGTAAGTCACAACTATCACTGCATTTAATATTGGCTGGTGTAACAGTATATTGTCTCTCTTCTTTTAGCTGAAGGCAAATTACTGTATAGGCTGACACATAGAGGAATAAAGGACCGTGCAAATACTTGTTGATTACGCTATTGTTTACTATTATCGTGTTATTTAATATTGGATTTGGTTGATATTATGGGGGTTACGTCTTCAAATGTGAACTGTCCCCCTCAATCAAATAAAGAGAAAAAAAAAACGACCACTGTGACCTGGAAGATCTATTTATAATCTTCCGTTCGAAAATATTTCCTTCCTACTTTAGGAGAACTTTATCCCGTGTAGTAAGGTTATATACATGAATTTCGCGGGCACAAAAGCCCAGATACGATTATATGTGGGTAACACAATTACTTGTCCCTTTTGGGAAACGAACCCACGACCCCAGCTTCCGAAGCCTTGCCAACTGCGCCACGGCGCTCTGTGTCGACTGTCATCTCTAAGCTATATAATACAGATTCGTTTCCAGCTTACCCATACCACAGCATTTCGTTGAAAGAAACTGTATTTACGGACTTAATCAATAAAATTCGTAAATAGTTTCGTTTTCACGTTTTTCACAGGGTCATCTCTAAAGCCTCTACTAAGCTATCTTATACAGATTTGTCTATTTGCTTACTTAGACCACCGCGTTTCGTTGTGACAAACTATATTTACGATTATATACATATAAGTACAGTATATATGTCTAATTCTTCGACAACATATGAAAACGTCATCAGATTCGGCGCAGTTGTGGTTGTCACCTATTATTATAAAGAATTGGTGATCACGAAAGTGTTTTTCGTTTTGTTTTATATAACAATTTGTAATAGTTATACAATTACACTCTATTCCTTATATCTATCCTTTAACTCTTATTTACTTTTCAATCAACTCTTAAAATTCCATTTACTGTTAAAACTCCATATGGTAGATGTTGGATGGATTGTTGTACTTCGATAGATGAGATTTCCGCTCCATGAGATCACCGCTTAATTGACGGTCCGATTGGCGCGGTGGACAGTGGTCTGTTCCGCCAGAGAATGTCGGTTCGTTTCCCACTATTGTAAGAACACATCACACAAGATGAACATAGTGCTTTTCTTATATCTGGATGTTCATATATCTATAATATGCACATTTATTTTCACAACAGAAGTGTGTTTAAGTATGCTTATTAGTTGCCTAGTATCCATAGTACAAACTTTATTTGGCAGGGAACTAGATAACGTTGAGTAAGATTATGTTCTGAAAAATATTTAATGTTAATTTAATACCGAACCGTAAAAATATTTATTATTAATTCATAACGTACGCTCAAACGTTGTACGTTATCGTCATGACGATAAAATTATTTTATCTAATAAATCTTCTTCTCTGTTATTAAATAATCGTAATGAGGTTTGATACTCGTAATAAGTTATTGTTATTACATTATTAAATTTTAGTACAGTCGCTAAATGTTCGGGATCGCCTTTAAAAATGATTACATTGTAGACGTTATCATTACAAATTATATTAGTAACGCGTTGATATAAAGATGTAAAAGTTGACCTTTAGATGATACGAAACGTACAATATAATCTTTGTCAGGGGAAGGAATCAGGAAATTGAAGGAGTTTTGATGCGAGTTTTAACACGTATAAAACGAAAAGCAAAAATTAAAGTTACATCACGAAAATTATATTAGATGAGCAAATGTCTCGGAGAATGATTCAATAGAAGACAGACATGTTGGAGAGTGTGCTTAGGAATTGTCTGACTATATTCCTTCACCTATCAAATCCAGTTTACTAGACCCAGGGTTCACTCTTGTTATCTACACTCTCCGCAATCGAACTGTTTCTCATTGTTAACAATACACAAAGCAGAGTGGTTCTGCGTTCGTCTCTACCCTCCAAAGTTCTTCAAGGCAAGAGTGTACAGGTTTCTGCTGAGTTGACTCAGCATTGAGGATCAGATAGGATGGTCAAGCCAGTGTGTGATAGAAAGAAGACTATGTCTGTGTGTTTGTGTAGCGTGAGCCAACAATCGCCACAGCAGAAACGATAAGCAATCGTCGACTTGCAATACTATCGATAAACCATCGAGTTATCGCAGCGATAAGCAGTCACCCGTCCGCTGCCGCCGTGGCCACTAGCGATGATACGAATCCCGAAAAGAGCGAAGCGAAAACTAAGCTCCAATCAAAATGATCCGAAGAATTCCCGAGGGATGCATTATGAAGACCAAAAGCGGGATGTATGTAGCTCACCTCGAGATGATGCCGTTTTGTGATGTCTGTTTTGAGTTTATCGTGTATGCCTTTTAGGTTACCGATTCTTTATTGACAGGTATTGAAATTTGAATGAACTTACTGATTTTATTACAGTATTAAATAATATTACAGTATTCTTGGTTCGCGAAGGACTGTTGTCGCTGTGTTTGATTGCAAATACACCACGACAAAATCCGTATATTAGTATTATTGAAACGTGTAATATTCGCGTAAATAATAGATATTAATTATTAAGCTCAAATAGGCTGAAATTAATGTAATGCTGATGAATAGACATTATGATACTGTAACTTCTCTGTGAAAAATAATTACCAACTCATTTCTTCTTAAGTTTAATCGACTGTTTAGTCTACTACTCTGTGTGTCTTACTCTACTGTGTCTACTTTGGAATTTCGCGAATATTTTAAAGACCTGACCAAACGGTTCTTCGATAGAGCCGAACATCATCCCAACCCTCTGGTGGTAAGCACAGCAAATTACCAACCCAACACAAACGCGAACGTCAACAAGCGTCGCCCGCGAAACGTCCTCATCGACCCGGTCGAGGAAGGGGACTTAGATATGCCGGACCCACCGCCGGGGGTCCCGCCGGATAACACTACACCCACAGTTAGTGCAACAACAAACATACTAGTTCGCCTCGCCTCCGAGCACGGCGAGACCAACACAACGCGTACACAAGGTACACCCGCGTTCCGGGGCGGTTCTCACCGCTCCCAGCCACCGATTATCTAATTGCACATTCGACGGCCATCGGGGTTTCGGTCCGAACCGCAACCTCGATGGCCCTGAGATGACACACCACACTTAAACGCACGCATGAGCACATGCGTGGCCCTACCCTCAGCGGAGGGCCCAAACCCGTGGGTTCTGGCTAGCCCACCGGTTCTGCGTCAGATGAAGCTTTAATAGTCTCGGGACTGAAACCACAAACATCAGTTAATACAAGATACAAGATACTTTGGAAATGTACAGTAGTTACACTCGTTAGTAGTGCAATTAGCATGACGCGTGTGAATTAATTATCGAGTCCGAGCTATACTGGTGGGCTGCCATAGTGAGAACGAGTCATAATTATTCTACGATGTAGCAAAAGATGTTTATCAGTCACAATGTCTATCGTAATGCGATGATGATTTACGGCAATCCTGTTTGATATGTTTTGTCAGAGCTTTTGATCAATTTCCCTGTTGGTCACCCAATTAAGTGTGCCAATCGTGTATAACATAAATTTAAACTTGAAACTGTTGAAACTGAATAGTTCGAATTTTAATAATACGGTAGTGAAGTGTAAAATGATATCTCTATATAAACTTTACAGTGTTCGCTCATAGTCTTCCCCGAGTGGAATATCGTGCACACAGTCTCTTAGTTGTTTAATCTATATTAAAATGCAGGGACATCAAATTGGGATTGTGAGACGACAGTGGTCATTTCAGTGACGTCCTCTAGTAGATATGAGATAATGGCACCACTTGACCAACGAATACATGAGAGTAACATGGTAATTTCTGTATCGCTCATTTGTAGTTGTGATTGTTTAGCTCAAGTGATTGTTTAGCTATAGCGACAGCGTTTAGATAATGCCTCCCGTTAATCGTGCAGTTTTTTATTTAAGCTTTATTGTCGACCTCAAATATTATAAGTAACAAAGCACGAAAAAAATAATAAATGTAAATTAAGGTTTATTTAAACTAAAACCAAATCCCTTCTACCTTCAACTGCCAAAGGCATTATCTTCTATCAATCCTGGATGTGGCAATGAGCAGTAAACAAAGCAGAAGCTGTAGTACCGACTGATTGAAAGTGCATTAGTGTTAGGTAGACGCTTAGATTCAAGAAAGCACATATCACACTCTTGTTGAAGACACCAAATATAATAACGGACGGAAATACCATCAAGGCGAACGCCGCCGTTACAACTCGGTTGGATCGAATGTTCATGTGTGCTGAAGATCTCTCACCGTAAGAAAAGCCGCCTGATAAATATCTAAAGTACCTGGAGGACCGAGCTTTGCTCGGTTTTTTTGGTAAATTATTATTTATGTAATTATGTATTTTGGAAATAAAAAAAAATAAAAAATAAAGAAAATGATCTGGTATAGAAAAAAAAGTAAAAAAAATAAGTGTGTAAATGATACGATACGTGATACGAACCACGGCCGTCTGTTTTGGGGCCACCCGATTACCGACCGAGCTATTATAACATTTTATTTTGCGGCGAAATTTACTGTCATTTTCGAATGATATTTTTCATCCCCTGAAAACAGGGATAAAAGGACATTTTCTAAAAATGAAACCCTTTTCCCGATTTTTCGCCCCCGAATCTACGCACATACTAAATTTCATGAAAATCGCTGGAGCCGATTCCGAGATTCCGATTATATATATATATAATCGGAATATTTTAAAGTTTATTTATTATTATTTATTATTATTATTATATATACAAGAATTGCTCGTTTAAAGGATAAGATTAATACATTTATAAAGCGGGGAAATGATAAGTAAAAGGATGTATACTTACTGTACTTCATGTATATTTAGTTTTCCAATGGTGTTACGAAGATATCAAATATCTTTTTCAGTTTCTACAAGTTTAGGAGTGCAACACTGCAATTCGTGCTATTCCGATCGACTGTAATGTCGCTTTGGGCTGTGCCAAATATTTTGATCTGCGTAATGACAATTAATAACTTCAGCGACTTTGGGCTAGAATCCAGAAAGATCCTCTTCGTGACAGTGTTGGTTGTTGTTGTCTTTCCTCCTCCTACCGCTTTTCTTTGTTTTGATTAACTTTTTACGTGACCTTGTTTGCTCACATCGCTCAGTGTTTTATATTCTGTAACTTTACGTGGTTGTTTGTGCAAAGTTATAGCGCGATATGTTTGTGCATCTTAATGAATAACAAAAAAATATATGTACAGTTCAGTTTTATATCATCAATCTTCTCGTCATAGGTAAATGTACCTAACAATTTGGATCTTTAATTTTTTTACTTTATTTACAGTGCACTATAAACATTCGCTGTACTCGCGATCTAGGGTCGTGGGTTCGAAACCGTACATATAGCGTTTCTCGTTGAGCAGATAAGAAATCTGCCCTTTTTTTTCTCGAGATGGAAAATATACGGTGGCAAAGCTTTTTGTTAACTTTTACATTAAAATAAACTCAGCGGAAGGTTAGCTAACTTACCCTGTAAGGTTTACAGAATGCTTGTTTATTTAAATACTTTACTGATTTGAACGCATTACGATCCTCCTTTGCAGCTAAAAAGGGTGCAAACACACATACAAACGTTTTCATTTATAATGTTAATTCAACCGCGAATAATAATAATGCAGCGATTATACTTAACAACTCAATTATATTCATTCGTGCTGTTTAGTTATTCATTTATTTATAGTGCTAATATCTGCACTCAAAATAAAAAAGTAACGTAACGTAAAAATGAAGTAGTAAAAGCCTCTACTGTTCACTAATAACATAATTATCTGTCTGTTTGGTTTTTTTTTTTGTTTGTTACCTGAGAAGTCCATCATTTATAAACCGATTTTAAAATTATTATTGTGGTCACATTGGTTTTTATTATCATGATTTATAGCGAGGGAGATATTTGAAATCGATCTTGTTTCTGTTACTAAAAACTTTTAAAAGCGGTAAGCAGCGTTTCCCACCTCCTAATAGAAAGAACAGGACTTTTGAATCCAAGGATTCACAATGTCATGTCCTGTTCCTGTTCACAATGCTGTTTCACATGATGATGATATCATCATGCCTTTTGATATCAAGATATCATGATGCATTTTGAGAGATACGTCTGGGCTTGTTCGGTGGTGCGTGTAGGGGGAAGGGGGGGGGGGGGGGGTGTAATTACGGTGTTCCGTAGTTAGATTAGAAGTGGGGCCGTTGTTGCGACGATCGTGGATCTATAAGAGGGTGTGTGTGGACAGGAGCTGACGGAGACCGCGTCGATGGAGGCGGGCGGCGCGGGGGGTGCGGGGGGCGGTACGCCGCGCACCAGAGACCTCTCGCCGATGAGGGGTGAGACCTCCACAGCATCCTCCATAGTGTGGCCTCGGCGATAGAGAAATCAACGATGATTTCCTCTATTTATGCAATTACACATTGCTTTATTGCGGATTTATCGCGTTTATCTTTTCTTTTTTTTTTTTTTTTTTAATTTTATTTCCCGAAATTTCGAAACCGTTTAGGAATTTGCATTTTTACTGTGCTAATCTCTGGACTTGACTAAATCAATTTTTAGAAGACATGGCGACCTCTCTGTGGTAGAATTATCATTGTAAAACTATTCGAAATTGTTTGTATGCTGTAAAGGATGCAAAAATTGAAAAACATTGAGCAATGCGAAAAGCATTGCTTCAAATGCGAATAAGACATTCACTTTAGATAAAAGACGTTGAAATTTTCGTCGGTGTGGCAATGAGCCGTTTAGCTTAGTGGTTAAAGCGTCAGGCCGCGAATCCCGTAGGTGTGGATTCGATTCCCACAGCGGCGAAACTTTACGTATTTTTCTACAAATTTGTAGAAAAATAGTTTTCAGCGTTCGGGCTACCGTCAGTTTTTAAATTATTAACATCTTGTCGTCGTCAATGTCTCGTTACACATGGGGAAATAAAACTAAAAATAACCGTGATAAATCCGTCAAATTCGTTTCATTTAGTAATATCAAAATCCGTTGCTTTCATACATATTGTACAGCGTTCATTGGTTCCTTTAACTCATATATACATGTCCATATACATATAGATACAATCACAACATCTAGAAGGGTAAGCAGAGACCACTGATTTCTTTGCACACATTTTTCACTTCTTCACATCCATACATTCTCTGTGGTTACCTTTTCCACAACCGTCCCTAGTCTATGGTTAAGCCAACTCGCGTTGCTCTAACTCTCTCAGTTGGATACAGAATATATATTATTAATATTATATTTCCCTATTCCTCAATTGAGGGCATAATTGGAAAGGAGCTTATAAATTGAATTGCGCGGACGCATTGGTTCGATACGGACGTGTTCTTAAAATCCCTATTTTTTGTGAAAATTATTGTATACAACAATATTCTTTAAATACAGTGCAAGTAACAACAAAGTTGAGTGAATATTTGGCTAGTGTCTTCAAATAAAAACAACGTGAGTCACTGCTTTTGACGTGCGAGCTTCCTGAGGTAAGCCCCTCCTCACCTCGAGTAAAAGAGACGGGCTGCGATTTAATAATAATTCGTCATTGTCGCACAACGCAACTCTTATAATCTGCAGCATTACACGCGCTGATAACTCAATACAGTAGTGAGTAACTGATTTTATTACGCTTAAATTAAATCACATCCACCCGCAATGGTTAACAACTGTGCTGCTTGCAATAAGGTGCTAAGATCATCGCACATAAAATGCATTAAATGCGAAAACCCGTTTCATTTGATTTGCGTAAACATTAATAGGTTAACGGAGGAACTTAAACTGACATGGGTGTGCCCTCCCTGTGTTGGTAAACTACCAAAAAAAGACAACACAAACACTCCATTGCGTGCCCACCTACCCACTGAGCACGACAACGTCTCCCAGGGCCGCCACGGAAGTAACAAAACCACCGCAATAGCAGATAATTCACCAAGCAGTCCTGGAACGCCAACGGACGCAAATGCAATAACACTTTTAACTACTGAAATAAAACTATTTCGTGAGGACCTAACTGAGTTAAAAGGACACATCCAAGTCCTTACCCAACACTTAACTCAATGTAATGCCCGCCTAGACGAGTATGAATCTAGAATAAAGTGTTTGGAACAACAGAAAGCTGAAATCCTTACCCTTAATAATACTATCTCGCTGTTACGGAAGCAAATAAATAATCAAACGCAACAATCCCTACGTAACGAGATAGAAATCGCTGGTATTAACGAAAACCAAAACGAAAGTCATTTACACATCGTTAAGGCCATTGGCATCAAGATAGGTGTACCTTTGGAAGACCAGGACATAGATTTCGTTTCTAGAGCAGGCGCGCGGCGGAATTCTACAAAAGAAACAAACTCGCTGCCTCGAAATCTCGTCGTTCGATTTGTTACCCGCCATAAACGAGATCAATTTTTAAAAAACGCAAAACTAAGGCGTAATCAAACATCCTCGGACATTGATATACCAGGGCCCAAACGAACTCTGTATTTTAATGAGCGCCTTACACAAAACAACCGCCATTTATTTCGATCTGCAAAACTTAGGACCAAAGAAAAAGGGTACAGATTTTGTTGGACAAAAAACGGTAATATCTTTATTCGAAAACAAGAAGGAAACCCAGCTATTCTCATACAAAATCATGATGACCTGGACCAACATCTGGGATGTCTCTCACCAAACATCTCTCCGTAACATGTTCTTAAGATACTTTATGCATAATATTCGTCTATCTTCTCGTTCTAACTGCATAAATGTATATAATTTGTTTTCTTTGTTCTTCATAATATGTTTTAGTTTTTTTATTGTGTCATTTATTTTAAATTTTAACAAGTTTTTTGTTTGTCATCTCTGGACATTAACAGAGCACGGGTACGCACACATACAAGACTCAAACACAAAATACTCGGAAAATATTTTTACAGACCTTCACTCACCTACATTCACACTTTTACAATCAAAGTATACACTGCGCTACCAAAGAATATTTTTAGTTTCCCTGCTGCAAAATATTGATATAACAACGACATCTCTTACTATGTTTTTTACTTTAGTACATTTTTATGCACCTCTGGCTGTATTTAACATCATGCAGGAAATCGATGAAAGTATATCAATAGAGTGTCATTGTTGCAACGATCTTGAAGAATGCAGAAATACTCTGCGGAATTTAAAAGATAGTTTCAGAGTTCTAACATTTAATATCCGGAGCTACCAACGCAATTTAGATGATTTTCTTGGTGGCCTTGAACGCTTAAACACAGAATTAGACGCTATTATTTTAACAGAATGCTGGTTGAACGAAAGCAGTATATTAGAGTCACTTCCGGGGTTCGCTGTGTCAAGAACAAATTCACAAAATAATAAAAGTGGGGGAATTGTGATATACACAAAAACAGACTGGAATATTCACGTAACACAACCTAACATTAATGACGCGGACAGTTTGTTAATAAAAATCAACGACAAAATAGCATTATTAGGTATTTACCGATCACCATCTTTTAGTAACCTAGAAAATTTTCTTTCATCCTTAGACACAACATTGAAGATGTATTCACATTATCACACAGTAATAATTGCGGGCGACCTAAATATTGATATCTGTGACACAGCAACGTTCAAACACCATGAATACCTGTCACTATTGGCCACACATGACTTAATACCTGCCATCACAAAGCCCACTAGAGGCAACTCATGCCTGGATCACATCTTCATTAAAACAAACTCTAAGTCTATTGGTGTGATTGCCAAGTGTTCCATTACCGACCACGACATCGCAATTGCTGCAATATCATTAAAATGTATTTCTGCACGGCCACGGCAATGGACACATAAAACAGACTATGAAGCTATTATCAAAGAGCTCGCCAATGTAAATTGGTCTAACATAATTAATGAACGCTGTGTTAACTCCGCCACTTCCTCCTTCATCGATAGATTGACAACAACAATACAATGCCACACAAGGAAAGTAAAAATTAGCCGAAGCAATTCCACAATAAAGCCTTGGATAACTCCTAGTCTAGTCAAGTGTATGCGCCGTCGCGATAAACTTCATCTTGACACAAGGACGATATGTCCGTCATCCTAACGATGTCAGACGTAAAATTGAATATATTAATTACAAAAAACGTTTGCAACAACTTACTCCATAAACTCAAGAGAAAATATTACAGCCACCAAATAGAAGAAAGCAAAAATAAACCCAAAGAACTCTGGAATACCTTGAAATCAATGTACGCATCAAAACATAAAGAAGACTCTTCGAAATTGCTAATTGATAACAACAATCCCGAAAAATCCCTAAACGAATGTAACACTTACTTCACCTCTCTTGGCAGGAAACTTGCGAACAGCATCCTAAATAATTTATCAGAAACCCAAGAAACATTAACAAAAAAATACGAACCAAAATACTACAACCACCATTCTTTTTTCTTACATCCTATCGACGAAAAAGAAATAGACAAATTTATATCTCAATTAAAAATGGACAGTGCACCTGGACCAGATGGTATCAGTGCCCGCCTACTGAAAAAAATTAAAAACTGCATTTTAACGCCTCTCACGTACATAATCAATTTAAGTATCGAAACCGGGACATTCCCAGACTGCTGGAAAATAGCTGCGGTAAGACCCATTCACAAAAGCGGTGCCACCAACTCCCCTAGTAACTTTCGCCCAATCGCGCTTCTAAACTTATCTATATATATATCTTATCGAAGTTACTAGAAAAAACAGTTAACAACCGTCTATCGAAGTTCCTAGAATCTCATAAATTGATTTCGGATAGGCAATATGGATTTAGGAAAAAGAAATGTACAGAAGATGCCGCGGTACTAATGGCAAACTACATATCCTCTTTTGTGGATAAAGGGGAACACTGTCTGAGCATATTCTTGGACTTGGCCAAGGCGTTTGACACTGTATCTATAGACCTTCTGCTCCGTAAACTAGAGGCATCCGGCGTAAGAGGTATCCCACTGGACTGGTTTAAAAGTTATTTATCCAACAGAAGACAAGCTGTGAAAGTAAGTGGTTACACTAGTAGCGTGCTTCAGTGATTTTGGTGTGCCACAGGGTAGTATACTCGGACCGACACTATTCAGTATCTACGTCAACGATATACTGCAACTGCGTCTACAAAATGCAGAAATAATATGTTATGCTGATGACACTGTTATCCTTGTCCATGTCAAAACGTGGCAAGAGGTTTACAAGCTCGCTGAGACAGGGCTACAAGAACTCCATCACAGTCTTAACACCAACTTACTTACCTTGAATGCAACTAAATCGAAGGTAATACCCTTTTACAAAACCGCGACATTACAAAACCCCC